CTTAGTAATATAATCAATACGAAAATTCTACTCAAATACAGAAAACTTTCATAGTATCAGAGCCTTATAATATGGGCACCAGAATTTTGTTTTAAAGCTCCAGTCGACTTCCATGGCAGACATAATAGGAAGCACGGTCTTGAGTAAAAAATGGGACTTTCCCAACCACCAACTTTACCTTCACCATTCCGATCAGCCTGGTGCTATCCTTGTGCCACAACCATTGGTTGAGGACAATTACAGCACATGGAGTCAATCCATGGTTATGGCCTTAACGGTAAAAAACAAGGTCAGGTTCGTAGATGGCTCAATCAAGGAGCCTGATGCGAGCGCTGCGGATGAACTGCAACAATGGAACAGTTGCAACAACTTGGTTAAAACTTGGCTACTGGGATCTATGTCCAAGGAGATTGCCAATAGTGTTATCAATTGCAAGGATGCTAGAATGATGTGGCTTGATTTGCAGGAACGATTCTCACATGTAAACGCCGTCCAATTATTTAATGTGGAGAATGAGATCCATGATTGTGTCCAAGAGAACATGACTGTAGGATCTTACTTCACGAAATTGAAGGGCTTATGGGATGAACGTGACAAATTAGCCACATTAACAGCATGCACCTGTGAATCAGTAAAGGAAATGGCTGCATATATAGAAACACAGAAAACTATGAAATTCCTTATGGGACTTAATGAATCCTATGGAAGTGTTCGAAGCAATGTTCTGTTACAAAATCCATTGCCTACAGTGAACAAAGCATATTCGTTAGTTCTCCGTCATGAGAAAAACTTGGAGGTTACGACAGGGAAAAGCCATAATCAACCGAAAACGGCTGTTTTTGTAGTCAAAAATTCCCATCGTGAACCTAAAGAAAAGGGTGAAAAGAAATGCTTTAAGTGTAACAAAACCATTCACACCACCAAGAATTGTCGTGCCCATCTTAAATGTGATTTTTACGGTTGGAAGGGGCATTCCATCGAGTATTGTAGGAAGAAAAGGGCAGCAGAATCTAAATTTAATACATCGATTTCGAAAGGGAATCAGGCCAAATCTCACTTGACCAATGAGAGGGGGATGAATTTCCCTTTTTCAGCAAATGAGTGCCAGCAGATTCTCAACATGTTGAAAAACAAATCTTCTTTTGCCAATCAAGTGGGTAATTCTCCACTCATGATGAACTATCAGGTAAAACTTTCCCATTAATTTCTAATAGCACAAAAGCTACGTGGATTTTGGACAGTGGATGCACCGATCATATGGTTTGTAATCCTCACTTGCTCACCCATTCAAAACATGTTCATAACCACACTGTGGAATTACCAAATGGTTCCATGGCTCCAGTAACTCACATAGGCAAAGTTGTTTTATCTCCTCACTTAATTCTCGAAAATGTGTTATGTGTACCATATTTTCGATTAAATCTAATTTCTATTAGCAAGTTGGCTTCTCATTCATATTGTGTAACCATTTTTCTAAGCCAAGTTTGTTTCATTTAGGACCTATGCTCGGGGAAGACGATTGGGACAGGAATTGAACGGGAGGGCCTCTACTATCTGGACCGAACCAAGAAAGAATCATGTCATCATATCCAGACATCTAATCCGACCCTTTGGCACCAACGTCTTGGACACCCCTCGAATAAAGTATCTTCATTATTTCATTTTCCTAATTTCACAGTTACATCTTGTGCTACCGATCCATGCTTGATTTGTCCATTAGCCAAACAGACAAGGCTTCCTTTTTCTTCTAGTTCTATTAATTTTACAACGTGTTTTGATTTAATTCATATTGACATTTGGGGTGGTTATAAAATTCCTTCGATTTCTGGCGCTAAGTATTTTCTCACCATTGTTGATGATCACACTCGATGCACTTGGACTTATCTCATGAAACACAAGTCAGACACTAAAAGCCTCCTAATGAAATTTATCAACATTGTTGAAAATCAATTCAATTCCAAAGTCAAAATTATTTGTAGTGACAATGGTGCCAAATTCAAACTCGAAAACTTTTATACGAATAAGGGTATAATCCATCAAACCAGCTGTATCAACACACCACAACAAAATGGCATCGTCGAGCGAAAACATAGACATTTATTAAATATGGCACGAGCTATTCTTATTCAAGCCGATCTTCCTCATCAGTTTTAGGGGGACGCTATTCTTACTTCCTCATATTTAATCAACCGAACACCCACTCCACTCCTTCAAGGAAAAACGCCATATGAGAAATTATTCCACAAAGTTCCAAGTTACTCACATTTACGAGTATTTGGTTGCTTATGTTTCATTTCTACTCATGCACAACACCCTTCAAAGTTTGATGCTCGAGCCTCTCAATGTATTTTCCTTGGCTATCCTTGTGGTCAAAAGGGTTATCGTGTCTTTGATCTAGTTCAAAACGAGGTCATGGTTTCGTGGGATGTTTATTTCTTTGAAACCACATTCCCTTTCAACACTGGTTGCCAACCAGCTACACCTTCCAGTCATCCTGACACATCACAATTCTCTCCTCTCACTAATGCATCCACATTACCATTTGACATACCACCAATGCCACCTCTCGTGCCTTCCTCTCCTTCCACGGAACCACCTCCATCTAAACATGATTCTCCTCATCCAACAAGTCCCAATCCACTCAATTTTCCAATTGACACACTACCAACTCAAACTGCCCCAGACTCTCCTTCCTCACAAAACACAGCAGCCTCAATTCCTTTTTCTCCATAAAATGTTCTCTCTCGTCGTATACATTGACAGACCAAACCGCCTACTTATTTATAGGATTTCACATTGAGACGGCTCTCTCCTCAAAGAATGCTCCATCGTCATCCATGAATGTGGTCCGATCTTCAGGTACAAATCACCCTTTATCTCAATTTTTATCTTATGAAAACCTTTCTCCTGCTCATAGAACTTTTACCTGACAACTCACATTACTTAAAGAGCCTAACAGTTTTTTAGAAGCTGTCCAATCTCCACAGTGGCGTGAGGCCATAGGCAAGAAATAGCAGCTTTACAAGCAAATGGTACTTGGAGTTTAGTCACTTTGCCCTCTCATAAGTGTCCCATTGGATGTAAATGGGTGTATAAAATCAAATTGAGGGCTATTGGACAATCGAGCGGCATAAAGCCCAGTTGGTGGCAAAGGGCTTCAGTCAAGTTGAAGGGATTGATTATAGGGAAACCTTTGCTCCCGTGGCCAAAATGGTGACTGTTCGTACTTTACTCACTGTGGCCGCTTTGCGTGGTTGGCATTTACATCAATTAGATGTTAACAATGTCTTTTTGCTTGGAGATCTTAATGAAGAGGTATACATGTCCTTGCCTCCTAGTTTCGGACAAAAGGGGGAGACTTGTGTTTATAAACTTCACAAATCACTATATGGCTTAAAACAGGCTTCTAGGCAATGGTTTATAAAATTGTCCACTGCACTCAAGTACGCTGGCTTCCACCAATCTCGGTCTGATTATTCTTTATTCGTCCGATGTCGTCAAGGTAGCTTCCTAGCCTTACTTGTATATGTTGATGATGTGATTTTGGCTGGAAACAATCTATAGGATATAGAGAACACCAAGCTCTTCTTGTCCAAGCAATTCAAACTCAACGACTTGGGGCAAGTTAAATATTTCCTTGGCATAAAAGTTGCAAGATCACGACATGGAATTACTTTATCACAGCGCAAATATGCCTTGGAAATCTTGGATGATACTAGATTCTTGGGTGCTAAGCCTTTTCGATTCCCTGTAGAGCAAAATATGTCACTCACACAATCAGATGGAAATCTCTTGGATGGGGCTTCATTATACAGAAGATTGGTTGGGAGGTTAATCTACCTAACCATAACAAGGCCAGATTTGAATTATGCTGTCCATGTATTGAGCCAGTTTATAGACAAACCACGAGAACCACACATGGAGGCGGCTCACAAAGTGCTCAAATATATCAAGCGAACACCAAGACAAGGCATCCTCTTACCATCCACAGGTTCGCTTCAATTGCGAACATTCTGTGATGCAGATTGGGCTCGTTGCAAGGACACACGGAGATCAACTACATGCTATTGTATTCTACTTGGCCAAGCACCAGTTTCTTGGAAGACCAAGAAACAAACTACAGTATCCCGTTCGAGTGCCGAAGCAAAGTATCATGCTATGGCTACCACATGCTGTGAGGTTACATGGTTGAGAAACATTTTGAAGGATTTGAGGGTAAATCACATGCAACCAGTTAGCTTATTTTGTGATAATCAAGCAGCTATGCACATAGCATCGAATCCCGTATTCCATGAGCGAACCAAACACATAGAGATAGACTATCACTTGGTACGTGATAAGATCCAAGAAGGAATGATTCGGACGGCCTATATTCAAACTACAAATCAGCCAACAGATTTATTCACCAAACCCCTAAGCTCCACACAATTCGAAGCCTTACTCAGCAAGTTGGGTGTCATCAACATAAACTCCAACTTGAGGGGGAGTGTTAAAGGAAACACAACTTGATTTATGCCACTGAATATTATAAATTGATAGCTATATAATTTCTTCCCATACATGTGCAAATTAGACTTGATTATAGGAATAGAATAAGGAGTAGAATAAGATCTTGATTGTGTTAGTATTTGTATAAATAGGTGTCTTGCCTTTGTAATATAATCAATACAAAATTTCTACTCAAATACAGAAAACTTTCAGGGCATGATTTGTATTTATATGACAGTATCCTAATTATGTTTTTGATGTTGCTTTAAAGCAGTATCCTGATTATGGCCCGATTGATTTGCCCTATATTCTAGTTGTTGCTTTAAAGTTGTTCAATTTTCTAGTTGCTCTTGTCATTTCCAGTTTTTCAGGGCTTTGTGAGATCCTTATTAGCCATTGGCAAAGCTTGGATATGCTAAAGCTAGTCCGTGTTGCCTTGGCGTAACAATTTTTTTTTTTGACTGTTTGAGATATATTTTGTTTTATTAAATTGGTTGGTGTCTTGTCTGAATTTTGAGGGGGTGATGCTAAAATAAGAATTATACTTCTTTAAATAGCTTATCTTGCTGATGCAATTACAGATTTTCCAAGAATTGTAAAATATAATTTCGGTGACCCTTAAGTTGTTGGATTATGTATTTTCACTAAGTTATCGTCTTGCTGATTTCCATGGTTCCTTAGCGTTTTCTTTTTCATTTTGTGTATTTGATGGATGGAGAGAACATGTTTGGTTCAGCAAGTGTATTAGTTTGAGTTGTTATTCCTATTAGGGTTCTCACATAAAAAAGAAAGGAAGAATTGACATTAAATGAGTAGTAACTGCTGCAGAGAAAGCTTACCAAGAAAAAGCACTAATAGGTGGAATCAGAATTCATGTGTTCTCAAAATCAAAAGGAGATGCTTAAGCTGCTGGTTACTGATATGAAGCCACTTTCTGTTCGGGACATTGTCCACAATGGAGCCACTTTCCAGGTAATGTAGTCTTAGTTTGCTCTATATGATTTTAATGTATCCATGATATCTTACTAATACCTTTTGTAACTCATAGATGTGGTTTAGGATCGGAAAATTGATGTAGTGAGTTCTTAATGATGTTGTAAATCACCTATTCAGTGGTTCTATGCCAACCTTGCTTTACATGTCTGCTAATGTAAATCGAACACTCTCTTACATCTCGCCAATAAATATGAAAAGAGATTAGATCTGACATCTGACCATAAAATTGCAAAAAACATAAATAATATATGATTTGATTGAAATTCAAACACACAGACTTTTTTTTTATTGATTCAATGCTTTTCTTGCAGCTTTGTTGGCCGTCGTGAATTGTGTGGCGAGCAAATCGAAGAGTGCATGAAGGACAATATGATTGAGTATGCCGTTAGAGTATTATCCGGAAGCTTGGTATTGAAAGTGTGGCAATAAGCTCTTCATGCTTAAGCTGTATCAAAATTTTATTCCTAGTTTTGTTTCACTTTGAAGCTCCTTTGTATTTAGGTGGTGTTGTATCACATTCTAATATTCAAGTGTATGGATTCAAAAATTTGTAATGAAATTATCAATTTTTATGCAATTCCAAAATTTGTTAAGGAGTCATTTTCAATTTTGATAGTCAATTTACGTAAATTGCTGTAAAAATTAAAAAACCTACGGCAATGGTCAAAAAATGTTGCGAAATCGTTTTTTGCAACGTCCAAAAAACGTTGTGAATTTTTTTTATTTTTTTGCAACATTCAAAAAATGTTGGGATTTTCGCAACATTTAAAAAACGTTGTGAAAGGATTTTTTGCAACGCTCGAAAAACAAAAAACATAGCTTAAGGATTTTTTTCAACATTTAAAAAATGTTGTCATATCCTTCTATTTTACAATAACATCCAGATTTGCAACATGCGGCTAAACGTTGCAAAAGGTCATTAGCAATGTTTTTTGAACGTTGCAAAAAGATGTTTTTTTTTTTTTTTTTTTGGTAGTGTGCCCATAGGTCCTTCCAACTGACTAATTTCATAGTATCTAGAGCTTTTTTCAAATGACTTGATAGTTTGAAGTCCAATACTAAACCCATCCAGCCATTAGGAATTACGGGTGTTGGAACAACTTGTGAAAATGTTGAGTAACACTTCAATAACTACTCTACAGAATCATCTTGTTGGAAGCTGCAATCATTCCCATCTTTCTCCATATAATTATGTAGTACCAAAGTAAGCAATTTATTGCATTAGCTAGCCAATGAGTTATTTCAGAATTATAGCAAGTCAAATTTATGCTACAAAAAGCACATACCCAAATCAGTTACAAGGCTCATCTAGAGCTCAAAAACATTATCAAAATGCCGTTGAGTGGAAAACCAACCTTGCTATCTTCATTAGCAACAAATTTGTCAGCAACAACATCAGTGGGTAGAAAGAGGGAACCCCTTAGACTTGGCCTTCTCCATAAATGATTTTGCAAAGACTGAGCGTGTCATTTTCCACAAATGAAGATCCCAAGGCATGCCCTTAGGCTTTATAGAAAGTAAAGATCATTCCTCCATCAAGAATGAGTATGTCAACCTTCTCTAACAGTGACACAATCATGCCAATTTTAGTGGATCCCTTTGAGCCGCAAACAATTGTAGTAAATGTATTTTTTTTTTTTGTGGTTTGCAATAGCCCCAACTAAGTAGTCAAGCACGTGCGATTCAAGAAAAATGAAATGTTAGCATCAATAAATGTCCAACAACACAAGTATGAAATTCAACAACCATAATGCTATAAAGATAATAGTATGGTCTAAAACTATCTTGTAGAGATATCATTTTTAACCACGTCGACAGAAGGGAGATTCGGACCTTGGATAAATTTTGTTTTGGTGTTAGTTGTAAAAATAAGTAGTCAATCCTTATATAAATAACATATAAAGATACCTCAACTATAGTGAAATACACATCAACAATGGGAGACGATCACCATTGCACAAATTATCACGCATTTAGTGCTTGAAATTTTCAATAAAGTTAAATTTATATTATTATTATTATTTGTTTAGCCAAAATATATTAATAAAACACTATTGATGCTCATGGGATACCCATGCAATATTTCAATTCTGTATGTAGTAGATTAACTGGATTTTTGCTATTAGGTAATTTTTGTTCATGGGTTACTTTTTATCTATGATAAAGTTTTTTACCTATGAATCAATTTTATACCTTGTATATAAATATTTAATTAGAAGTAATTTTTTACATGCAAACAATCATTTTTCCCTGAAGTGGATATTTTTCTTAATAACAAAATATTATGAATTTGATTCACTTGTCATATGCGTTGTTTAATTCAACTAATTTTTTTCCGTATTATTGAAGTAATGGTTAATATATTATATGTTCTAAACCATCTCACAGATACATGTTTTTCAATCATAATTATGAAAAGGAGACAATCATCACATATTATTTTGATACGTGTATTAATTGTACAAAGCGCTGATGTGTTATCCAACTAGGTTTCAATCCATGCCATTAAGTACTCAACATATTGGCAAACGTAACCTTCACCGTCTTGCCATGTTTTCTCATACTTAAGGCATGCAGGCATTGTTTGACATCTCTCTGGTGTACAAGACACATAAAGGTCCCACATAGTACGTACATCGGGTTGAAATCTACGCAGTGATGACAATAAGCAATTCATTTATATCCTCCTCGGTGGTAGCCTTATAGATTCTGGTGCAAACCCACATAGCAATTGAAACTATGAAACCCACACGAGATTGGATCGCAACCCAAGAAAGTCAATAAATCAAATTTTTGAGTTTGATTCAAGATTATTGAACCAAATAACCAACAATCACCGACAATCTGTTGATCTCTTGATCATAAAAAGAACCAAGACAATTGCAAACTATATCTTGACCTTATGATCACAAAATTCACAAATCTTACTTGAATTGTTGAACGCTACAAAAGAGTATGAATATTGGATAAGTTCAGATAGTTTGAATGCCACAAATATTAAAAATATTTGACAAATTCTGTTCAATTAAGAACAAGATAGAAAGTGAAAAAATTCACATTATGATTAATTTTCAAAAAATTTAATGCATTTATTATACAATGAACGTGCCATTTTATAGGGATAAAATAAATTCCTAATTAAAATAAAAATCTAATTCTAAAGACAAATCCAAATAATCTACAAAACAAATGTGGCTTAAACTAAAATACTACAAATAATGAAAATACCCTTTAAACAAATTAAAAATGCAAAAATAGACCGCTAAACAACCAAAATTGACCACAAAAGTTTGACAAAGTCATTTGACAAACTTGTGGAGAATCGAAAGATATTTCTAGATTATACTCATGGGCAAAAATTCGACAATTGAGCTGAAAGTACATCCAGTGCATTTTTGCATATACTTCGTATTTCTTCCATTCTCTAATTAATTTAGGATCTTCTCTTCTAATTGATCTATACAACTCCGGAACATGTAATGTATCTTTGTTAGTTTTAACCAAAACATTTCACATCATGATTAATTCTCTCAGGTTTCCACCCTAAAGTTGCATTAGAAGCTACTTATATTGTCATATTTTATCAAAAAACACGTGCGATGCACTACGATGCACTTAACATATTTTTAGTGTTCTAAATAACATTATGATTGAATGTTTTCTTCAGGGTGAATTTATATTTTGAGTTACTTATAAAACTTATGAGAATTTTTTTTTTTTTTTTTACTTATGAGTGGTTTTGTTTTTAATTATCAATTAGTTGTTGTTTTTTTTTTCAAGCCATGCATCGAATTTTTTACATAAATGGATTTCAAACGTAATAGCTGAATGCAAGTACAACGAATTACAAATCATTTTCGGATGTATTTGAAAAAGGAGTGAAGATTTCGTGAGATTCTGCTTCTTAAAAAACTCGATTATTGAGGTCTATAGAAGAAATTATTTAGTTGGATGTATAACTTTTTATTCAATTAATTATTTCTCATTCTTTTGGAAAAATATTTGAAATGATAATACGGTCTAAAATTATCTTGGAGAGGTACCCTTTTAAACCATGTCGACGAAACAGAGATTCAGACCTTGGATAAATTTTGTTTTGGTGTTAATTGTAAAAATAAGTAGACATTTTTAGGCTAATGCTTATATAGATACCATATAGATTTACCTCACCTATAGAAAAATATTCATGAAGCAATGGGAAAAGAACAACTTTGCACAAATTTTCTTATATTTAGTGCTTGAGATATTCAATAAAGATAAATTCATATTATTAGTTATTTGTTTAGTCGAATTCTATTAATAAAATAGTATTGATGCTTGCGTGACACCGATGAAGTATATCGACTGTGTAGGTGGTAGAATAACTAGATCTTTGCTTCTAGGTAAATTTTCTGTATGAGTTACTTTTTATCTATTATAATTTTTTTTACCTATGAATCATTTTTATAACTTGTATATAAATATTTAATTAGAAGAACTTTTTTACGTACAAACAATCATTTTCCCCCGATGTGGATATTTTTCTTACTAACAAAATTTTATGAACCTTATTCTCTTGTCATATGCGTATTTTAATTCATCCAATTTTTTTTTTCCATATTATCGAAGTAATGGTTAATTTATTATATGGTTTAAACCATCTCACAAATACATATGTTTCGATCATAACTACTAAAAGGAGATGAGCATCACATATTATTTTAATACATGTATTAAATGCACCAAACGCCGATTAGGATAAAATTCATCCTTGCCCATCTGGGTTTCAATCGATTCCATCTAGTATTGGGAATGTAACATTCACCGTCTTGCCATGTTTACTCGTTCATTGGGCCTGTAGACATTGCTTGACATTTCTCGGGATTCGTAAAAGTTTCCAAATATCATGCTTGTCGGGTTGAAATCTAGATAGTGATGATAACAAACAATTCACTTATATCCTCCCCAATGGTTGTCTTAAAGCTTCTCTGTGGTTTCTGTAGCCTAAAGTTGCATTAGAAGTTTCTTATATCGTCAAATTTTATCAATAAAACTTGTGCGATGCATGTACAACGTACTTGATGTACTTTTAGCAATGTAAATAATGGTATGATTGAATGTTTTCTTTTGGTTGAATTTATATTTTACGAGTTATTTATGAAATAATGATTTTTTACTCATACTTAGGGCCTGTAGATATTGTTTGACATTTCTCTCGTGTACAAGACACATAAAAGGTTCCACATAGCACATACAACGGGTTGAAATCTATGCAGTGATGACAAGAAGCAATTCATTTATATCCTCCGTGGTGGTAGCCTTGCGGCTTCTCTCAGGTTTCTGTAGCCCAAAGTTGAATTAGAAGCTACATATATTGTAAAGTTTTATCAAGAAACCAAGTGTGATGCACGTGCAATGTACTTGATGTATTTTTAGTATTGCAAATAATAGTATGATTGAATGTTTTCTCATGGGTAAATTTATATTTTTTTAGATATTTAGAAAAATTTTAGTTATTAGTCTTTTTTTTTTTTTTAATTATAAACAAGTTTTTTTTAATTTTTAACCCATGTACTAATATTTTTTTACATAAATGGA